AATCCAACTTTAAGAAGCTGCATGCCCCCTCGATTTTCTTTACTTGCATTTTACTGGAAAGAATCTCCAGAGCTGAGGTTCTTGTTTCTAAACTGCTCACAGCAGTTTATGTGTATGGTGAATAATGAATTGTAATAAAGACACAGTAACAATTTTCATACTACATATTAAATTAACACATGCCAATTACAGTTTTCATAGGGATGACTGCTTTAATTCAACTGGGATGTGACACACACATTAACAAAAAAGTTTATGAAATATCTGAAAACACTATTCTGAACCTCCCATTCATTTAGTCCTACCATACAGACTTCAACTTTTCATGTTATAAAAAAGAAATCACCTTAAGAATATCAAGAAAAACAGTCCCAAATTAACAAAAAATTAACTCAGTCTGTAATTTTTAAAGTACATCCGTAATATTAGCTCTCTCAGCTATCACTTGTAAAAAAATAAGCTGCTGCCATTAATATAAAACTTAGGACTTCCTAGATCCTTTAATTAGTGGTATAATTTTTTCATACACGTAAACCCCTTCCCTACTGCTGGTCAGTAAAGCTTTGTTGACAAATGCTTTAGTGTACATGCAATTATTTTTGCAAAAGCTGAATCTTCAACTGGCAAAGATTATTATTTTTAGGAACATGGATTCTGCTGTACTATCAAAAAAAAATAATCTTGATAATTATAAACTGCACCTCTACAAGAGGGAGATTTTCTAATAGTAATCTATCCTAGAAAACATGTAAGTATAGCCAAGATTTTAGTTTAAACAGCTCGTTAAATATTTACTGAGGTACAGAGCATCTTTGAGGTATAACGTGTTTGACTTTCTTGTACTTAATGCTCATTCATGTGACTTTCTCATTAATGTGTGAAACAAGAGTTGCTATTCATATTATTCTGAAAAAAGTCTAAATTAATACTGGCTTGAAGGCAGCTGGGGTATTTATTTCTGACTCAAAAGCAGTGTAACAGGCATACCATGATCAAATTTAATGCATGTAAGAAATTGCACTGTTTCTTGCCAAATTATTTAACAATATGAAGCAATATGAAGCACCTAATCAGCAGTGTGCACATCACGTAGCTCATCAGGCTACTAGTAATAGCTGTGTTGGTAGCTGCTGAAAATATAATTATGAATAAAATGATTTATGAAAATTCCACAACAGAACAAAACACGGCATGAATAATCCAAAGCTTAACATAGCACATTTTAGGACATCCACTACCTAATTCACCTTCTAGTGAAAACATACTAGATAAAATACACTAACAGGCAGAGAGATACAATCCTTCAGGGAGTACTGTCTTTATATTTATATGTAACCTGTACATAAAATAAATATAAATATTTTTTAAAAAATAAATCTTACGAGATGATGCAAATTTGGTGGACTGCAAGGTCAAAGTTGGAAATGGACAGGAACACTGTTGAAAATAGGCTCCATGCTTGACAGATTTGAAATTTAAAACTATAAAATAGGAAAATTCTGCAAGCAGATTCTTTTGTATGACTATCTAGCAAAATTCCACCCTGAAGTCTGAATTGTCATAGAACAATACAGTGAATTTAGAAATGTAAGCTTGCTTGACAATCATTGAAGACGGAACAGAAACGGCAGATTGGGTGATAGAATGTTGAATAGGTGTGACAAAACCCAAAGTTTACCACAGAAACTCTCTCTACAGTAATGTTTCACAGTTCCATTTAGACATACAAGCAGAAGAGATGGAAGGTATTGGAAAAAGGTGGGGAAATGCAGCTGCTCAGTGCGGGTGGAAGTCAGAACTCCCTACTGAGGAATCTGTGAGAACTCTGACAAACCTTATAACATAAAGCAATTGGTTTTGGTGAAGTTAGAGAAAGAATTTTGTGCATGAGGGCTAACCTTTGGGAAATGATGCTTGCAGAAATATTCTGAATGGATATTCAGTTGGGGAAAAATACATTTCTGAAAGCTACAAAAATTGAAAGGTGTTAGTTTTTATAGGTTAAGATTTAATGGAGGAAGAGAACAAAGCATTACTCAAAAAAGCTAGAATTTAGCAGGAGAAAGAGTTGATGAGATTAATCCAGATGTTATGACATCAGACAGACACATTATGGAGTGAAAAGAGTCATAGTTAATGACTTAGACCACGTTCTTGAGTGGCAGAGAAGACAGAACTGTTGATAGCGACCAAAAGACATTAGACACTGAAAAATATTATCCTCAGATTGTACCTTCTTTCTTGGTTTGTGACTGTAGATTTCTATTTTTAAAATTGTTAGAAAATGCTACAGAATTCTCCAGAAAATAAACTAACAGAGAGCACACTTTTATATTCATGACACACTTTTCCTCCAAAATACAATTTCTTCCTGTATCTTTTTGCTCTGAACCTACTGTACTTTAAGTGTATTATTTATATAATCATGCAGTTTGAACTGTTATGGGTTATGTGTTTTTAAAAATCTGTTGTCTTATCAAGTGCAGTTTAGAATTTTAAAAGCCAATTTAATTTTACCTTAAGACCAGTAATTGAATAAGGAACACAAAATGGGAACATTTAGGGTACTTTACCACTGTTGTTGCTTTTCCAGACACAATGTTTAGGTGTGACCTTTCTTTTTTTTCCTTCCCTTTTAAAGTTTTGGTACCCTCTGCATTCCCACTCCTAAATTAACATGCTATTGCTTGGTATATCAGAAAGAGCACCAACTGAGCACTAAATCCAAAGTGGTGATCAACACATCATTCACTCTATTTGTGCTCTATCCATTAAACGAAAAGAAATATGTGATTTTGTAGAATGTAAAGCATCTGAGCTTTTAGTCCCTCTCTAATTACAATAAAAATAGAAATAAACATGGCAATAACCAAATTTAGCTATTATCTATTTTTTTACATGAGTTATGGTCTGAAAAGAGCAGTAAAATAACTACAGTTGAGAGAAGTTTTACATTCGATTTGGCTCTCTGAGACTGGGTAAGTCATAAGCAAGAAAGAAAAGGTTTGTGTACTGTTCTGCTTTCCTCAGTGTTGATTTTTGTGATAGGCAAGCAAAAATTCCTATCACTGCTTTCACTAGCCATTCTATGATAAATTATATGCCCTTTAATAAAATCATTGCTACACAGACACTGGCAATACACTTTGGTGGAAAGTACTTACCTTAATCTGAACTGAAAATTCCACAACAAGGTAAAAATTCTGTAACTTTTGAAACATTTACAGATCCACTGAAAGTACATACACAGAAATTCAAGCAAACGAGTTCCTGTGGTTTAAGAAGTGTGTAGTGCAGGTGTATTGGCTGCATGTTTGTGATCCAAACCTGGTACAATTGTGAAGTAAACACCCTCCCCACACACATCTATTGTTTTAGGGTGTCTTGTCTTATCTGCCATCAGTTGCTTTGTGCATCAAGCAGGATATTGATACAGACAGCAATAGGTTTCAATAAACTTTTTTTAGGTCAAATTGATATACAATTCCTTCTATCACTTCTCACTATTCCACAACAGTGTTTCTAAGATTATTATATTATGAACAGTCATAGCAACCAGTACTGACATATTTTAGTAGCAAAAAAAGAAGAAAAGATCATACATACTGCATTCTATATGGTCAGAGAACCTAAGATTTTTATTGGCATGCATAAATTAGAGTTAATTCTTTTAGATGGTAGCCTAGCTCTTCCAAGTTCACTGAATTGAGGCATGTGATATAGTGTCTGGATGAAGGTATGCTTTTAACTGTAATGCACGATTCATAATGTACAATTCATAGAGTGCATTGTTAAAGAGTGCTTGGATCCAGCACTGTATGAGAAGAAAGCAATAAGTAATGGAGATAAGGCGAATATCTACATCAGTTTTATTTATAGCAGTCTTTTGAGAAATGGCTGACATTTTTCAAATTCACATAGCATAACACTTTAAGAAGACCTTTCTTACCCTCACTAAACATAGTATGTATTTTGCATTTATTTTTTTCTGCAACCATACTTGTCTAATCAATTTTGATTTTAATTTTTCAATGTTATAGCAGTGCAGAACAATTTTGGTTGAAGGCTTCTTGAAGACTGTGGTAGTAATGTGTTAATATTCTGTCAAGTATTTATACAAGTTTTTAAAAGTCAATAATTAAATTGGACTAACTGCTGGATCTTCAACATTTTTTCTTTCTTGTAAGTAAATATTACTTAAATTATCTTGTTTTAATTTTAAAACAAAGAATAATGCTTTTTGCAAGAAAATATCTGTGTAGATCCTTCATTACAAAAAGCAATTTCAATCATACCAGCTTGAAAGAAATCAGTTGATAAATGTTTATTAACAAAGACCTTGTCGGATTCTGCAGCACCACCACATTCCACACTGCGATGCAACTCCCTAGCAAGTCTGAGTAGAGGAACTAGCTGATGATAATTACTGTCCTCTTAGGAGAATTATTGCTATGATGCAAATTCCAGGAAATAGTTAAACAAGAAATCTACCCTACTTTTAAAAGAAATCTATTATACATCTTCTTATATAAAAATTAAACTAAAAAAAAAAGTAATCATAGTCATGTATGTTAAAACTTCTGTTGAAAAATGTTCAATGATAAGAATAAATGGCAAAAAGAATAATGGAAAAAATATGGCAGGCTAACACCCACTTCATTAGCTTAACCTCTTTGGGAAGCTGGAAGAGCCTAGGACAAGGTAAAGCAAGATTTTCAAGTGCACAAAAGTAACCTTTCAGGATTGAAACTAATTCTCTGACTAAATTTTGTAGATTCAGAACACTTAGTTCACAGATGTTTATAAGCCCCAGTGTATTTTCCCTTGAAATGAGCTTCATTTTACCATAGTTTATATTTAAACATATGTAGCCTTTCAAATTGTTTTTATTTGCAATGTTGAGTAAGCAACTTCATAAAATCTTTAAGATCATCTGTTTCCCCACAAATGCTTCAGCTATTTGTAGCATCAGTTATCATGGCACTGTTCAGAATTGTAATTCAGATTAGATGTGTTAGCACACAAGGGACAGATCTATATTTCAACCATGCTATATGGACATAGACAAGGGAAAGCAGATGGAGCCAGCAGGTCTCCAGGGCCCATTAACTGCCCTCTTATGACCTGTTGCAGGAGTGCTGACCAGAATAGCCGACATGAGAAAAACTTTTCTTTATTTCCCTTAGGTAATCTGGAGTTTGAGTACAATTTTGAGCTCTAAAAATTAGCATTATCAAATATTTGGACAGAGATCTAGGCTCCAACTGCCTGTGTTAAACATAATGGATTTGTTCAGACCTTTCAGGTTTTCATTTAGCTCAAGAGAGTGGCTCAATAGCTAGCAATTCAAAACTCACAATAAAATCACAATGTATAAGCAGATTTCAGCTTAGTGATCTGTTAAAGTGTGTTCTTTCCCCCCCATCTGCATGTTTGCAGACATCTCCATTAACGACATATCCATTAACTCTTCATGAAGGCTGTGATTCTGTAAGAGGAGAGATAACACCCCGGTAGGTGAGCTTTCTGTGGGTGCTCTACTACATCTTCACCTCTGAATGTAGAAATTGATCTTCTGTCTACCACAGTAGAAACCTGTGGGAGATGATTTCTTGCAGCCTTTTCTGTGTTGACTGCTGTTTGCTTATCTCTAGTGCCAGAGAGAACACTGCTGCCAACAGATTCTATCAGCTTACTCATCAGAAGTGTGTGAAGGTTCAGGAGGATTTTAGTGTGCAATTGTGCAGATTTACAGCTGTTTTCTTTAATTTTTTTTTTTAACTCCAACAGATCACACTTCGTCTGCCATCAAGACAAAATGACAATACTCTCAAAGCGTTTTACAACTGAGAATCTCACACAGCTACAACATACAATACAGTAAGCAGTAGGTACATTTCTCTAAGCTACACTTAACATGTAAGTTAAACATGTCACTTGAAACCCAGAAAAACTGTACTGTAAAAAACGGAAAGGGAGATCCTAATATTTGAATTTAATTTGGTATATAATACAATTCAGAATCAAAGATAAGAATCTGATAATGCTTCCTTTGCTTTAAGATTTACAAAGCAATCTTGCAAAAAGTTAAGGACATAAAGATAATGATTAAAAAAAAAAATCCCAAAGAAAATCCAGCTGCCTGAAATTGTCTGCTATGTACAAAAAAAATGGTGAAACCAGAATTGCTATTTTTATCAAATGCCCTACTTAGTTGTATTTAGAGACATCTTTAATAGAATTTATTTACCTTCTTTAAAGACGTTCATAGTGAATTATTCATATTGTTCTTTTACTATCAGAAGCCTTTGATGGCATTGACCAGAACTGTAGTTTCAAAAGTCTCATTAGTTATCTCTAAGCCTTCCCTCCCAGCAGGAAGTCTCTTTTATGACACTTTTTCACACCGTTCTTGAAACCTCATCTACTTGGGATTGTTCAGTCTTTTTTATCTTCTCCACAGAAAGACTATGAGGGTACAGTTTCCTACCAAATGGAAATTAAATTACTGACACAAGTAGAGTGAGAAAAAGACTGAAGAGGTACTTGAGCTGAAAGAGGAGGTACAGAAGTAAGAGTAAAGCGACACCAGTTCCAGCAGCTGATGTTCCCCACAAGATTCTATAGCAACCCAATCTGTAGGTGGCTATAAGTCTCTTTCAGGACGTTCTGGAGAGATCCCATGCTAGAGCATTATGCCATATACAGTCTACACATGCTCTGCAAGAAACATCTAAAGCAGCTGCTGGCACAAAACAGACACAGTACATTATGGCACATTACAGTACCTTGAAATTTCAATTTACACCATATACTGGTACGTACAGGGAAGACAAATAAAAAGCAAAATACAACTACTTTTAGCATTTATATAAAATTAGCCACAAAGAGATATTACCTTCATGAGAAATTTCTTTCCATGGATTAGGTGGATACATGAAAGCGGCATTCTGAATCTGGTCATGTATGTCTTCATCTTCATTAAATGGAAAGGTACCACTGAGGCTTACATAAATGATGACACCCACAGACCACATATCCAGAGATCTGTTATAGCCTTTATTTCTCAGCACTTCTGGAGCAAGGTAAGCTGGTGTTCCTACAACTGAGCGCCGAAATGATTTCTCTCCAATGATTCGGGCAAAGCCGAAATCACATAGTTTTACCTGTTTGAAGAAAAATACTATAGTAAGACAGACATTACTTTTATTATCAAATACATAGTTGAGGAACTTTTATCATGGTTTAGCTGTAAGATGCATTTCCTTTTTGAGAGGAATACCTTTATACCACTGAGGCATTAGACCAGATTACCAGTCCATTCCTCTATTCCTTCTTTCCATGAATAAACCACCATGAATAATATCAGTAACACAGGACAGCTTAGAATGAAAGAAATACAGTTTTGGATAGACCCAACAGCTTAGGGTCCTGGTGAAAGTACTAAGATAAAGTAATACTTATTCATTCACAGCATAAGAACACAGCAAACAGAAAAACTGTTTTACCAATGGCTTTTTCCTAAATCAAGCAAGTCGACAAGATTTAGTTCTTGAACTCCCACTTTAATTTTATTGTGGACCTAGTTAAACCTTGGCTCTCTGCAAACTTCCCTGTCTAATTTCTTCAGAGGGTCAGACTTAGCTGCTTAAACATTCTCACTGAACACCTCAGTACAGATTATTGCTATTGGTATTATTTAAAAATTAACAGTAGTGGTCCTTTTGAATATGGGCAGCTGGAGGAGATTATAGATGAAATCTGCAGATCAAAGGTAACAGAAGTCGATACAAATACCTTTCAGTGAGAAATACAATGAGCCAGAGAGCATATTTAAATATTCTGCAATCTATCTGGCATGTAAATTCTTCTTCATGAGTTCTAACTTTCAGAAAAATAACTGTCTTTCCAGTGACTGTTTGCAAATTGTCACTTATCTGGACCGAATCAACCAGATGAGTAATTTCTGCTGTAACAGTGAGCAAACTAGAAACAATCGCACAAGTAGTTACATCACACTTCAAAATCTAGTTGAACGGTTTAGGTAAATAACAAAAGGCAAGGTTTTTCGAACTTGTTGTCTTTGGAAAGTTTGCTGAATAAGGGACCATTATTTACAAAACTAAAAATTCTGTGTAGTTCCTGGAGGAGATACAGGCAGGTCACTAATCCTTTGTTCACAAAATAAGCATTGCTAAACTTAATAATTTGAACAACTTATGTTAGGAAAGGGCTTTTTCTACTTACCTGTGGAAAAGGATCAGCTGATGCCAGTAACACATTTTCTGGTTTGAGGTCACAGTGAACAATATTTTTGAAATGAAGATGTCTTAAAGCAACAAGAATCTGTGAAAAACAAATCAGAAAGAAATTCTGGTTTAAATGTTTTACCTTTTTTTTTATATATATATTGTTTGGACATTATCAGTGGTCAAAGAAACAAGGACTGGTGTAATAAGAAACAATCCAACAAGCATGTACAAGAACGTCTACAATGGAAAAAAAGAAGAAAAAGCAAAAATGTCAGCTACTATGTGCTGTGCCTCAAGTTTTCTTGATGTTTCACTGCAGGCAATATGGTTTTTCATATATGGTATTTTATATGCTACACATCTAAAAAACCTAGGTTCTAAGTACTTGTTTACTATTTTTGTTTGAAACCTTGGATGCAGGAACATTTTCAAAATGACCTCATAGATCTAAATTCACTCAAAAAATTTCAATGAAATATTATGTAATCCAATTTAAGCATTTTCTTGAGGAGAGAAAGCGTCAGGACCACTGCATGGATTTCTATTCCATTAGACACACAAGAATGTGGCAACAGAACGTAACATATTCATCCTATTGCTTTAACTCCATTACTTGATTCTCATCAGAGGCTGGCAGAATTTCCTGTTATATTAGGGAAGGGAGTGGCAAGGAGGCTGAATGAACCTGGGAAGGCAAGAAACCAAATTCTGAAACTGGTTTTGCCCAGGAAACCTGCTACATTCTACCCTAAATAATAAACCTCCACTGCAACGCTGTTCCTGCTCCTTTCTTTTTGCTGACTGCTGAAACAGTGGCTGCTCTGACTCTGGGGTTGCTCACTGATCAATTGTGTATCTAAATTTAAACCAGTATTATGGGCAGCCAAGGAAGCAATATGATAGTACCACAAGAGGAAGAACAAAAAAACCACAAATCCAACCCAAATCTCATTGCTAACAGAAGTCATACAGGAAAACAGATTTATTTAATCAGAGGTAAGTAATGGTGAGATCCAATTTCAGCATAGAAAATATGCACACAATTGCATAGGATGAACTGCAATGGTTAGGTATAGGGCAGTTCAAGAGGCTTAAATTTCTCTGTGTGTCTTCAGCAATTTGTGTTAGTGCTCTGCATTCCTTTCTTGTGCTTAATTCTTCAAGCATATGAGAAATCATAGCTTGATGGCCCTTCCACCCAGCAGTCAGACAGCTGTACACACCTAGTTCTAGGTCCTCTTAATGGTTTACTACCTATCAGATAATGTACACAAAGCTGTCTTACCATGCCTGGCATTACAAGTCAGGCTTTCATAAATCAGACAGGTAAACTACGCCATAAGTAAAACGTAAGAAACAGTGATAATAATCAACCTCAAATCTCCCTCTAAGTCTATGATTAGTTTCTTACCTGAGTAATTAAAAACTTTGTTATTCTCTCTGGCAATCTGCCCTTTTCACTTGATAGGATCATCTCCAGCATGTCTCCATGGAGTTTTTCCATAACAACAAACACTCTGTCTGGTGTCTCAAACATACACTCCAGATTTACAACTCCAGGATGGTGAAGATTCTATTAAAGATAAAAACATGATCGGTAGGTTTTAGCATTACACAGCCAGCCTTCAGACCCCTGAAAAGCAGACAATGTTTTGTATTTCATAATTTTAACTGTGTGCCTAAACTGCAGGCAACAGGTATGAAATTTCTATGGACAGTACAGGAAAATGGATGGACTTCAAATTAGTTTAACGAACACATTTTCCTTATTGTGCCTGGTGCTTAAAACTGCAGAAATTGTAATTCCCAACATGATGATGTCAATACACTTGGTCTTGGCAGTTTATGCAGATTAAGCAGCAAAAATACTTGTGATTATAAATTAAAATAATAATCATATTATCTGGTATTTACGGAAATGAATAAATGGAGTTAATAGAGTAAAAAAGAAAAATACCTGTAAAATTGCAACTTCGTTACGAAGTTGACTTTCCTGTTTAGTTGGAAACCTTAGTTTGTCAATTATTTTAATGGCAACATCTCTTCCCGTTTTGCGATGTTTTCCTGCATTAATAAAACAAAAGGCCTCTATAAATTAACACGATTAATTCTGAAAAGTATGCCACTTTCACTGGATTGTACAGACACAATCATGTAATTCTCACAGCAAATTAAATCACTGCCATTATAAGTTTTCTGTCATTCCTCCTCTTCCTAGCCTTTGACAAGAGAACTTTTCTTATTATCACCTGACAAAGCTGTTTGAACACACAAGAAACAAACATATATGAGAAGTCAGCTCTGCATTTCAACAATATAGTTGCAATGTTAACTTTCTCATATATATCTATGCTTGTTCGTATACTTAAGCCGCATACTCTGCAACTGGCAGGTTGTAGGCTTAGTCTTTCAATAGCAGCTCCAGACTAGCAAATAATGAATAAATGATCACCTTTAGGCATGCAAGTGCATGTCCCAGGGTTACCAGAGGCCATAGAGATTCTTCAGTGAGAAACTTATTATTCTCACTTCACACTGTCTCAAACAACAGCTTTTGCCCTCCCAAAAACTGACGAAAAAATGAGGAGACAGAGAGGAAAAATGGGTAAGAAAAAAGAGAAACAATTCTAAGAAACTACTGAAAAACAAAGAAAAAAAGCTCACAAATATGTGTCAACAACAACAGCAAGAAGTTGTTAATTTTTTATTCCATCCATTATTATTCTCAAAAAGAACAGTTTTCTCCACTTCAGAGTTTTCTTCACTAGAACTTACAGACAATATGAATCTATTAATATACATTTACCCACTACTGGGTGGAAAACTTCAAATTACAAAATAACTCTGGCAACAACACAGTTTCATTGTTTAATGAATACTGCTTAGGTAAAACAATGGGCAGCTGATTTCTGTAACAAAACATTTCAGAGTACAAGTACTTTCACCATTCAAGAAATTGTCTATCTCAAGCATACTGTACAACGCATAAAAGCCTTACCTCCATAAACAATTCCAAATTGTCCTGATCCCAACACCTCGTCCGGGAAGATTTGGTACACAGTGCTAATGTCCTGTTTATATAAACATAACAAATATTAAGTCCTAAGACATGGAAACATCTCAGGGAAGCAAAATGTGCATTTAATTTCCCTTTTCCAGTGGGAAGCAGCATAAATTTACTCTAGTACAATTCAAACTATATTATCTGTCAAAAACATTCACACAGGTTTTCTTAAAAGCCACCTTAACTGCAATTGGTGTAAAAGATGCTGAATCCTCAAATAGGTTTCAGCCACTGCCATCTTCCAGGCAAGTAGCCTCCATCATGCAGCATTACACTTAAACTTCACGAAATCTGAAGATGAAAGTGAATATGGAAATAAAGAGGGTCTTCTTAGCAGCATTCTACCTTGATGTCCCAGGATCCCAGATCTAAGAATTACTGCTGGGTTTTATGAAAAGGGAAAACTTATGAATATAAAATTTTCTTGCAAAAGTTCCTTTTCAGCTCATGTTAGCCATGGAAATGCAAGTGGTTTCTTAGTTCACAGAAAGCTTTGTGAGTATCAGCAGTTCTGGGCTTTGGCTTTTTGTGTTTGTCCACTGAGAGGGGTAAAATATTCCATCCACTACAGTGAGGGAATCTTACATCTCAGTATTAGTGCCTAAACACAGGCTAAAGCATAAGCTGTTAGCACATTCATTTGGGAGATACAAACAAACCTCAAATCTTAGAGCTCAGTTTCATTTTCCTGACATTTAAGCAGCAGCATATGCAACAAAGAGTAAAAGAATGCTAAGAAGTTGATAACAAAGGCTGTCTTGCCTTTTCTTAGAAAACAAATGGACACATCCCAGCAGGCAACATTCTCCTGGCAAATACCAGAACTGCCCCAAAGCTTTACTTGGCTGCAGGGAGTCCTGTTTATTTCCTATGTCCTATGTGTCCTGTATACGTAACAACATACGTAACTTCGGAGTTTCATTTTCATCTAAGAGAGAATATCTGATCTCTCAGTGATAACAGGAAATGGTATATTACTCAAGGCTTGTAATTAGGTATATGAAGCTCAATTGACAAATTCCATGAATTAGTAACTTCTACAGCTCTCTTTTCCTTTTGATAATTAGCATCCTGCAGGATCAATGGTCAAATTCTGTATTAAGTGAAATGACCCATATGTAGTTCTTGCATCTCAAGAAAGGGTGCCATGAAGATGATTTTTCTCAAAAGTTATCAAAGCTAATTGTTTGTTAATTCCTACGAAGTAAGTGAAAAATGGCTGATGGTTACTCTTCAAACATTATTCTTTGCAAAGCAGATCTATGACTTCGCAAGCTTAATCACAGCATTTCTAGCACCAGCATCCAGTGAACACTCACCACATTTTCTTGAACTTGGCAGTTTGACACAGAAATACTGATGGATATATCCCCTGGGGAAGAAAGAAAGAGAGTAAAATATATTTTATCATAGAATCATAGAATACATTTTAGATTGCTGTGCGTTTAGTTCAAACATGTAGTAATAGGAAATGACATTTATATTACATCAATACCTACTGACAGCTCCAGAAATTGGACCAATTAGGTCAGCTTGTTCATTCACCAGCCAATATATAATTACACCAGCCCACAAATATGTGACTTGCACAACAGATTTTCAGTGTATGGAAAAGAACAGAATTATACATTTCATCATTAATTTTTTAACAGTGGAATCTCAATCTTATTATTGCTTTTTTCCATGCTATTTTGGGGCTTTATATCTCATGCAAATAACATAACTGCAACTAGGGTAAACCATTTTTATTTGGTGGATTTAGTAAGTTTTATTTATAGTGTCACCTACAATGTATTTGATACTATTCGGATGAAGGCTAATATGCATTCAAATTGGTCTGCACACTGTTAAAAGTAATACACATTTCAACTGGCTTAAGGGACATCATTAAAACACATGATGGAAACAAAAAACCATGTACTTGTGCATCAGGTCCAATCTCCACAAATTCAGAGCTTTGGATGTTCCCATAAGCATTTTGAACTGTAAACCTACTCAGGGATTCAATAAAGCTGGAGAATATGCCTATCGCTAACTGTACTACACAAAGACATCATTTTTGAAAGGAAAGAACATTTCTTTGGAGCACTGTATCTCATGTCTCCTACTTCTGCCTAGAATCCTGCTCATGCTGTCTTTTCGTTTTCTTAGTATGGATTTCAGCCTCATCAAAACCACTGTCCTCACTATAAAGCCTGTTATTACACACCGAAGACACTCACTACTGCCCATCAGCACCTGTCCTAGTTGTGGTAAGCAGCACAAGTAACTTCTGCCCCAAATGGCTTGTTCCTTTGTCCTTTCCTAAGAATAGACTGGGTTTGGAACTAAATGTTTCCATTATGTAGAGGCTTTTTATCATTGCCAGTTAGTTTTCAAATGTATGTACTGCTTAGTGTTTACATGAAAAAAAGCATGGACAAAGACATGGTCAAATCTTATACTTTGCGGAGAAGAGAGAAGGTTTGCCATAGGAATTTGCTCTAAATGTCTCAGATGAACTTACTTTTAGCATAAAACTTCCAAAGACAAGCACAAACTGGGATTAAACCAGGGGCACTAGGCAACTAGTCTGACTGAAATGACATCTAGAATTGGACCCTATTTTATGCAAGAACCCAGACGAAAAATCAAAGGATATTGCTGATCTAATCTGATATGTGAGCTGTTGTGCCTGGAGATGTAATGCCACAGTCTGTTGTAACACAATCAAGTAATACTTGATCTCTGGGGGGCTTGCAGTCTCATTAGCATTTCATGCTGCATTAACAGCATCCAGATGTCAAGTGCTAAGGCGGGTGTTTATTGCAATAAAAGGTCTAATCCAAATTGTGTAGACATATCCAAATTTGCTTTACAGTGACTAGGTTGAGTAAAAGCAGCAGAGCAACCACAACAGCAGACGCCTGTGCTACTTTGTTATCAGTACCTGAGCTAAATTCAAATGTTTGGTTTACATAAACTGTCATCTTTGTTAGAGAATTACCCAAAGGTATGTAAATTGAAGGCACAGACACATTCAGACCTTTTGGTCCTGGGTAACATTCCTTGCCTTGTTGTGCTTAGAACAGCTGTTCTTTACACTTGAACTCATTTCATCTCAGCATGGGACAATGTTTGTGGCAGTTGTACAGCCAAATGCGATGAAAGGGAGAATATCACCTACACTGCAGTGACCTGAAGAGTGAATTGCTGCTTCTCAAGATAGCTAAAAACATAAATTACAGTCATCAGGGGAAAAGTCTACCAATTCCCAACTGGAGCTCAGAAACTTCATGCCTCTGCACAAGGAGGCTATTACTCGTGTCAGCAACATGAATGTGGATGAGATGGCTTTCTAATTTAACAACTATTTGCTTGCTAACAAATCTGCACATTGTATATTAATACATATGTTCTAGTATAAACTGGAAACACAAGGATGAGAAATTGTGGTGTTTAAAATAATATGCAGACAGGTGATAAGTCTTTACTAGCTGTGCAATACTTCCTTTCAATGTGTGCTGAAGAATGAGCAATATCATTTGTGATACAACTCATCTGAAAAGGAAGAAATGAATAAACTTACTATGCAGGCTGGCTCCTGACCCAATTGATGCCCCTTTAGGGATGACGGGCATCAGGGCATGCTGTATTGCTATCTCCCACATTCGTGCCACATCGATGCCAATACCACTGCTGATAACACTGTTATTCAGCGGAACACTTGAGACGTTTTCTATGTTTTCTCCAACGTAATAAACTATATTTGCTGTGCTTATTTCGAAACAATGAGGATTGGCTCCTTGAGGCAGCAAACTGAAAGTTTTTACAGGTTCCAGAGACAAAATTTCAGACAACGGGATTTCCTAAAATGAAAAAAAAAAAGTTTTACTTTTGTGTAAAGAACATCAACATATAAAACTAAAGCATGACCTTTATTTAATTAATTTATGAAATCAGCTGTTTCTTTGAACCACCTGCTTCTTGTACAAACAAAAGGGCTCTTGTAACCTGAAACTCCATGACACAGAGGGCTGTTAATGGTAAAAACTAAATGTTTCTTTCCAAAACCAAGCAGAACTTTAATTATTTAATTAAACATATCAGAGAGAGCAGTCATCTGTCCATCAGAAAAGAGCAGCACCATCCATATATCAACAGAACTCCACTAGAAAAATAAACCCCACTGACTCCTTATTTAATAAAATTTATTTGTGATATATTATTTACAGAATAAATCTACTCAACATTAAGGTTCCAAATCTATCTTTCACATATGTGTAGGTCTCATTGTTTCATCTTGAACAACACTTTGGGCATGTTTCAATGACATATTTCCCTGAGAGGAAGCCATATGAAAGAAATACTTTCCATTATTAACTGCCTCAGCTAAAAGGGTATGAGCATTAAACCAATCTTTTACAATCCAAATCACAACATAATATCCAAAGGACAGAATTAAAATAATATATACTATACCTAATTTTTTTAAATAATTTGTATTATGAATGACAATGTCTGATGAGTTTCTTGGCAGAATTTGTCACTGGCATGTGACATGTCCCCACAGTATGTCGCTGAACTGTATTACTAGAACATGTATTTTACAAGTCCTTGTTAGCTGACACTTTTCTGATCTGAGACTTGTTTGTGAAAGGCAAAACACACATATGCAGCTTAAATAACAAACATAGAACAAAGTTATACTACTAGTGGACTTTCAGTAAGCATCTCTTAATTCTTCAGTTTAATCATTATATTCTGCTGGAGAAAATAAGAATTGAAAAATATTCCTTACTTTGTAATATTTGCTTCCAGTATCATTTTGAAAAAGTGTGATGCATTTGCTGTCCAGTCTCCAGTAGTGTCGTTTCCTCTGCAATGAAAAACAAGGGGAAAAATCTTCCTAGTGTTTTCCAAGTAAATTACTGAAATGTTCATTTTTCAAAAGCATCACTTCCAAAATGTTTCACTTAAGTTTGAAGGGATGAATTCTGCATGGTAAAGATTCATTTCATATTACAAGATTTTTATGAGTTTATGATTTGAGTTTAGGGTTTATAAGGCCACCCTCCGTTGTTTCAGTAATAACCTAGCTCTGTTCAAATTGCCCAAGTTACAAAATTTAAAATGTCACTTTGATGACTGCATTACATTCAGCACAAATTACTAAAGGTATGATGCTAAAATAATTAAACTTTCTTTTTATATCTGTTATAACACCCCAGCTCACTTTAGAAGGCCACATACTGAAGTCTTTATTCCTGTTTTAGCAGGTCAGAATGAACACAACTGTTTTCTATGCTAACTCTATTTTACAAAAGTCTCAATTCACCTAGCAGTAGGGTATCTAGAAGCCTGCAGCTAGAAGGTGAAGCTACTTTCCAGAAACCCAATGGTGTTAATATTATTTTTTAATTCTTTCAGAATGTCATTTACATTTGGCTGCCTATGATAACACAACTGACATATTCAGATTATTTTTGCATGTTATAACCATCTCCTGTTTCTTACAATAACTGTTATGACAAGTCAGGACTTTAGGAATCATAGTAACTGTAAAAAAATGGCTTATGTGATTGTAAATTATCAATGTATTGTTAGGATTTGATTCTGTACTATCATAGAGCATGCACAGTAAGACAGGTCTTCCTTGACATTTCTTACCAGTGTGTCCTTGCTTGTATAGTGAACCATCCAGCCCTCCTTCATTACTGTGCTACTTCTCCTTTTCGTGTGCTTCACAGATTGTACCACTCTCATTAATGGAATATTGTTGCTGGTTGAAGGGCTTAAGGATAAATCAATAAAGGCTTTTTAGAAAGAAGATAACTTTGGACAGAAAGAAAGAAATTCTTTTTAATCAGTATCTATATATCTATATATCTCCTATATCCACATTTATATTTTTCATCATCATCAGACCTGGACTGGACACTATTTTGTTTTGTCATTCCAAGTGTCTTGAGATTAAAAAGAAAAAAAAAATTTAATGCTACACCATGAGAATGTCAGAGACCTTCTGAAGGCTTACATACACACACACGCTCCCCACCCACAATGTTCCTAAAGATGAGAGAAGAAGATGGGCAAATGACTAGGGCCTCTGCTAGAGTGTGGGAGCCATAGCTCAAGCCTATGCTATGCGTGATTCAGACCAGTACTTGATCTTGAATCTCTCATAACCTAAGTGAACATTGTCCATCAGATTACCATCCTGTAATCTTTCTCTGGTTCAAACACACAACGAAGTGATGACAGTTTACAGAGTGGAAAACATGTCAGCTGCCTAGCTGCACATACCCTGGCAGATCACAGCAGAGAATCTGCTGGAACCTTTCAGGGAAAGAGGTTTAAGATAATACATTTTATCCTCAAAGACCTAAAGCAAAGTCCCATTGCCTTGCACCCGGGGGTATGCACTCTGAAGCTTTCCACAACTCAGGTGACACACAGTAAGTCAGGAAGGCATGGGAACTTGACAGTATGCCTGATAGCATTATCAGGTAAAATCTGGAATATCTACTTAGAGAGGTGTAAGAAATAACAAGCCCATCTGTCCACTTTCCTTGCTGTTAGAGTTAGCCATTCATAAAGCTGATTCTGTATAATGGAATGTGGACTCATAATCTGCTTCAGTCCTAAATGTAAGTGCTTAGTTATTTCTGGCAGAACTTTAAACAGAGATGCTGCATTGTACATGAAAATACAGCACAGAGAGCTTTTGTCTTCTGTCCTGACAGCAAAGCTACTGGTACCATAACTCCAAGAAAAAAAGGCAAAAACTGTCCAGGAAAAGAACAATATCTTAAGTTTCCACAGCTGTGACTTTGGATGTCTGCAGATGGCCCTGCTTTACTGTAATGAATTCTGAAAAAAAGAAACATTTTATGAAATGGCACTTTCCAATCAAGATGTAAAAAGTGTGCTGTCTTAAAGATTCATTAAGACTGTAACATACAATTAACACCTCTTTTTGGCCTAAAAATTAACAAATAAGCTGCAGTGCTGATTTAACCATTCTTGTCTGTGCTGGCAAGAGGTTTATATTTTTATTTGCCTTTTACAGATCACTTAAAAATAACCCATGAATATGGAGAGGTCCCTTAGAAATAAATGGGGGAAGGTGTTAGTGGAAATACAATAAGTAAAACATGTACCTTGCTTATTAATGTTTTTATTAGATATAATTGGGTATTTATATTTTGAAAACCTGTAATGCTGTCCATTTAATACAACTGGGATGTTTAAAATGTTATATGACATCAATTTTCTGATACAAGCACAGGCTTATATTCTGATGATACAAGGTGTCTATATACAGTGTCTATGCAGGTGAATATGACAGTATGAAAAACAACTCCCTGCTGTGGGAGGTAAACCTGCACATTGCTCATATAGATTGCTTTCTGCTAGTTCAACAGCTATATGTTAGTAACAGAGAACTAAGGGGAACATGTCACTGATATAGACTCCTAGTAAGCAAAATAAAAGAGGAAACTGCAGGTCAAACTGGAACCTGTGAAAGAAAAATATTCTGTAATTCTTCAAGGTACAGATCCCTTGCATAAAGGAAATTACAGATGAAAGGATCTTATTTAATTTTAGGTTCCCTGACAGTGAATAATCCCTATTTTTTCCCCCCACTATTCCGTACAGTTCCAGTAAGTGAATAAAGTTTTCTTCTCTTCAGACATTTTCAGGGAAGTCGCACAACTCAATTCCTATTTTCCTTCCTGATTAGTCATTTCAAACCACTAACCTATTTAGTAACTTGTTTCAAAGTACTACTTGAAGTTTGCCAAACTTTCCTTCTTTCTAAAGGTATGTAAAACTGCAAACAATTCACCTAAAGCTGATTATACCATAGCCACTTACACAACTTTTTAAACTTTACTGTTGTTCATTTAAATGACCAGGCATTGCACTATTAGTCAGGAAAAGAATGTTTGGGGTGAGGGTGTGGGGTATGGGTGTGAAAAAGTAAAAAAAGCAAAAAATTGTTCTCTATTGCTTATGCACAAATAATTTCACAACATAATTTTCATAAGAGAACAGACCTGTAGCAATTACTTGTGCATCAGTTTACAGTCGCTACTTCAACTTTATATATCCTAAGACATATATTCAGTGAAGCAATCTCACTGCAGTTCTAGAACCACCACCTATCACTAGCTCTCTCCATTCTCAGTGAGTGAGAATAGTGTCCATGGAGATTCCTCTTTGAGTCCTAGACATGATACTTATAAATAAACACAAAAGCAGATGTAAGGTACACTAACGCCCCAGCTCACCTGATCATCCTGTTAGACTCGTCGTGATCCAGATCAGCATCCTGCATTTCCCCATTGTCACTATGGCATCCTGTCATTGACATCTCAGAATCGTGAGCTATAGATTCTTCCATGTCATCTATAAAACCACTGTTTCTTTCACTGTCATTGTCGTCACTCCCTTCTTCCATGACCACATCAGATTCCGCCCCAGGACTAAGAAGATCTGGAATATTTTTTCTGAAGTTATTATACAAAAACATACAATAGTCCAATCACAACATCCTTACACATTCTGAGCTTTGGAAAAACTCAGGTTCTCTTTGGAACTTTACTGCCTGGGTGTACCTTTACTTGGTACTCCGTGTGCTGGTTAAGTGTAGTTTTTAACCAGTCATTTAGAATATCACCAAAGAAAACTGGGAATGCATCAAACTAAAATATTTTCAGAAATACAACTTTCTACTAAAAAATGCCAAAGTCAAAGAAGAATTTCTTATCCGTGGATTTCTATCCATCATTCTATACTCATGAGCTTTATTTCTAAGATCTGACAGATTTTCTATACAGCTTGAATGTTGTGTACTGGCTTGATGGCTGTTGACAGGCTACAGCTGAAAACTGATGCTAGAAAAGAAGTAATTTCAAAAACAGGAATTTTGTAGTATGATGATGACATGATCAATTGGAGTATTGTGTACAGTTCTGGTGTCCTCAACATAAACAGGACATAGAGCTGTTGGAGCAAGTCCAGAGGAGGGCCACGAGGATGACAAGGGGGCTGGAGCAGCTCCGATATGAAGACAGGCTGAGGAAGTTGGGGCTGTTCAGCCTGGAGAAGAGAAGGCTGCCTGGAGACCTCAGAGCAGCCTTCCAGTGTATGAAGGGGGCCTACAAGGATGCTGGGGAGGGACTCTTCATTAGGAACTGTAGTGGTAGGACAAGGCATAAAGGGTTCAAACTTAAAATGGGGGAAGTTTAGATTAGATATAAAGAAGAAGTTCTTTACTGTGGTGGTGGTGAGGCACTGGAATGGGTTGCCCAATGAAGTTGTGAATGCTCCATCCCTGGCAGTGTTCAAGGCCAGGTTGGACAGAGCCTTGGGCAACATGGTTTAGTGCAAGGTGTCCCTGCCCATGGCAGGGGGTTGGAACTAGATGATCTTAAGGTCCTTTCCAACCCTAACCATTCTATGATTCTGTGATGAGCTATTGAAATAACTCCCAAGACAATTACTTATAATGTGATAATGTGAACTAATTTTTTTTTACACTTGGCTCAAGTGTTCACTGTGAAGGCTGCACAATATGGAACAGTAACCAATATTATTGAAATAATACTTCCTGCCTTTATGAAAGAAATATTAAATAAATACTAAAAAGTTCAATGGCATAGAAAAAATATGAATACTTAGGATCTAACTTATTTGACTATGGCTTAGTATTAGCCATTTGACTATGGCTTCCAGATAACATTTAAATTACATTAAGCTTTCCAGTTTCAAGATTAGATATGCCTAAGGAAGATCAAAGTAAGAAATAACTTTTTATTGTATTGCCGCTTGTGAATGCATTTCTCTGGAAGACAGAAAGGAAGACAAAAATTCAAGCTTATTTACCTAAGGACTTACATTACAAAACCAAACAAAAGCCCGAAACCCCAAGCAAAATAAAACAAACACACACAAAAAAAAATCATTGTGTTGAAACTCAACCTGCTGCTGTACAGGCTGTGATCTAACATGTCAAAATCATCAGTCCTGTCAGACAGTAAAGACAGCACTGTGATTGCAATGTTTCAGTAATCTGAAGTAAGGTTGAAATCACATGGAAAACACCAAATATTCTCACCAAGAAACTTTTGCCTTAATTGTGTGGAGAAAGGTTCTTTACAGTCAATGTAGACGATGCCTCAAATAAAAAAAAAAAGCACACTGAACTAGCTGACAGCAAAATGTTTTGAATTGATGGCATCTCACTCAAATTGGAAGTGCACAGTTGAAAGGTTTGTTTCCATGTACAGTAGTCTTAAAATATTTGGATATAAGTTACTGATGTGTGATTGAAAGACGTTACAGTTCATCTCTAGCAGAAAAAATCATCCACTCATGAATGACACTTTACAGTGCAAGGCTATCTCTTTGCTATTCTTACAACACTTTTTAAATCTCTATTTTCAATAAACCCACAATCAGTTAAAAATAGCCTCATACATTTAGTATGTAATGTTTTTATTAATGAGACCATACTTGGAATTTTATTACTTCAGCTCTTCCTTCACTTAATATCACACATCAGATGGACAGAGTGACAGATACTTTATTAAGTTTGAAAACAATGTGAATCAAATTACAGTAAAAATAGAAATGAGATAACAAGATGAAATTGCCTTTGATAATCCTAAGGACGTTATATCAGTCATTTAGGACACACAGATAAGAGTTAGAACCATTGAATGGTTTGGGTTGGGAGGGACCTTAAAGATCACCTAGTTCAAATCCCCTGCCATGGGCAGGGACACCTTCCACTGCACCAGGTTGCTCAAAGCCCTGTCCAACCACTCCAACCAATTAGTCAGCTTTATTTAGAGCTCTGCACAGATGCCTCTATACAAATGCCCCTAGTATGGGGAATAAACAAGATGAATTAGAGATGTGTACATAGCTACAGGGATATGATATCATTGGCATCACAGAAACATGGTGGGGGATAGCTCCTATGACTGGAGTGTTGGAATGGAAGGTTACAGGCTCTTTAGGAAAGACAGGGCAGGCAGACAGGGAGGGGGAGTAGCTATCTATGTCAGTAACAGGCTGGAGAGTATGGAACTCTGTCTGGGGACAGGTGATGAGTCAACAGAGTTTGTGGGTCAGGGCCAAAGGAAGAACAGTGATGGGGGACATGACTGTGGGGACCTGTTACAGGCTGCCTGATTGAGAGGACTCTATGGGTGAAGCACTCTATAGACAGACAGGAGCAGCCTCACGCTTGCAGCCCTTGTCCTCATGGGGGACTTCAACCATCCTGATATCCATTGGAGGGGTGCTACTCTTGCTAGTAGTAGAGGAGCAGACAAGGAGAGATGCGATGCTTGACCTCGTGCTCACCAACAGGGAGGGGCTGGTTGGGAATGTGATGCTCCAGGGCAGCCTT